ACCTGCCCGTGGGTCCTGAAAACTCCAAACAAACCAGTGACTGGAGGGAACTGGTCCCAAACTGGCTCCAAAAAGCTGGATCGACTGAGCTACCTCCATCAGGAAGGGCCTCAGTTTCCCCAGTGAGGGGATAAGGAACACAGTACCGATTTTAAATTTGAAAGGAAGCTTTGAAAAGTCCTCAGTGAGGCTGCTCGCCCCCAAAAAGTGTGCGTGAAGGTTGGAGGGATGGCCGCTAGTGCAGGGCGGGACAGAGGAACCTCTGTCCCCCGCACTCCGCCAGCGCTCAGTCCCTGAGATGCCCCGTCCTTTCCCCCACAGGCCTTGGGGGGTGGGTACCTCCACTGGGGCCACTTCGAGATGATCCGCCTGACCATCGGCCGCAATATGGACCCCAAGACCATGTTTGCCATCTGGCGCGTGCCGGCCCCCTCCAAGCCGGTGACGCGGAAGAGCCTGGGACACCGCATGGGGGGCGGCAAAGGCCCCATCGACCACTATGTGACAGCGGTGAAGAGCGGGCGTCTGGTGGTGGAGGTAGGCGGGCACTGTGAGTTTGGGGAGGTGAAACCCTTCCTCACGCAGGTGGCCAGAAAACTGCCCTTCCCCGCCATCCCCATCAGCCGTGACGGCCTCCAGCAGATGCGGCAAGAGGAGGAGGAGAAGAGGCTCAACAACCAAAATCCTTGGACCTTTGAGCGCGTCGTCACTGCCAACATGCTGGGGATGCGCAAGTACCTCAGCCCCTATGACCTGCGGCTAAAGGGACGCTACTGGGGCAAATTCTTCCTGAAACACAGGGTGTAACGAGCAGCCTTAATTAAACCTTCCCACAAGAACCTGCCTCAGCCGCTATGGTTTTTGGAGGCACAAACGGTGGGTCAGGAGCAACCTGGAGGCGATACGTGCATCAGGGCTTGTCTCCTGCTGCTGAGACCACCCCCACCTCCCTGACGCAGCACCTCGGAGCAGAGTGTGGGTGATCTCTTTATTCAGGAGGAGGGCTCCGATGCAGGTGGCTGCACATCCGAAGAGCCGGCGAGACAAGAGAAGTCACCGCAGACGAGCTCTGAGCGAGGGAAGAGGCTCTTCCTTCCACCCCGAGCAAGGCAGAGCCCACTACATCACCTGTGCACTGCCTCGGGGAGGAACATGGCTCCTTTGGCCGCTCTCTGCCACCAAGGAGGGGGCTGCTTTTCGCCGGGGCCACTGACTGTCAGCCAAACGGAGGATGGGGAGCGAGGGGGGACCTCGGGGCGTTTGCCTGGCAGTAGGAGGGAAGGGGAGAGCAGGGCAGGTGGTCTCCACTCCTCCGGGGATGCACGGGCTGTGGTGGCGAGATGTCCTCAGGGCTCTGGGGACAAAGGCTTGGCAGGCAGGTCCCGAGGCTGGCAGTTGGGGTCTCTCCGATGGCTGGAGCCACAGGCGGATGCGGGTGGGATCATCCGGGCAGTGGGGCAGGAAGGAGAAAGGCCACCTGCAATGGGGAGGAAGATGAGGCGCCGCTGAGGAAGGAGATGCGGCTCCCACCGCTGTGGCTGTCCCTGTCCCTCCCCACTGCAGCTGCCTGGCAAGTCCAAGGGGGGTGAA